TACATGACCACTGGAAAAGCCATATCCTTGACTAGACGGACCTTTGATGACAAAGTAATGTCTCTGTTTTTTAATATGCTGTTTAGGTTGGTCATAACTTTCCTTCCAAGGAGCAAGTGTCTTTTAATTTCATGGCTGCAATCACCATCTGCAGTGATTTTGGAGCCCCCCAAAATAAAGTCAGCCTCTGTTTCCACTGTTCCCCATCTATTTGCCATGAAGTGATGGGACTGGATGCCATGATCTTAGTTTTCTGAATGTTGAGCTTTAAGCCAACTTTTTCACTCTCCTCTTTCACATTCATCAAGAGACTCTTTAGCTCTTCACTTTCTGCCCTAAGGGTGGTGTCATCTGCATATCTGAAGTTATTGCTATTTCTCGCGGCAATCTAAATTCAACATTTCTTCTTATTTTTGACCAGAGAGCAATTCCATTACTTCCCCTTCATCTCAGCTATGCATTTAAAATATCTTTTATTTTTATTTTTAGAATGTATTATAGTATTATTCTCTGATTTGTTGCTGTGAACATTCTTCCAGAAAGAACAGCCTTATTTTATCTTTTACAAATAAGTTTCACCCCTCAGAGGGACTTATATTGGGATATAAACTTCTCTATCCGTCTTTCTTACCCATCTTTGTATTGTTACCATGTTATCCTTACAGTCCTACATGTCAAAGAGTCTTGATTTCCCTTGGAGATTAAAGAAATTTTGTCTAGTGATTGGTAAAGGACCAACCTATGTTTCGTTGGGCCGCCTTCTTCAGTCTTTCCTCATCTGAAAGTTGAATGACTTTTTGAGGCCTTGGCTATTACCAAGTGACCAGTATTCCTTGTGGCATTCCCCTGACTTCTCATACGGAAAGTAAAAAAGACACCACACTTGAGAACGCCTTCAAAGTGGAGGCTTCTATGGCTCTATGAGAAGATTTGGAGAGACTAGGGGTTACCTGGGCCTATGGCAACTTCCTGGGGGTGTTTCTCTGGCTTGAAAACCTTCCTGTTCATTCTGTGTGTTCTTAGAAATGCTAAAATACAACAATGTAAAGAAAATGACTTGTGAAAAATTCCAAAATCATGTGTTTTGTGCCTTCTGGTTCTGCATGTGTGCAACTTATTGACAGTTTTCTTTTTTAAAATATTTCTTATCAGGAAGCAGTAGCACTATAAGGAATGCAACTCACTGCTATTTCACAGAATGTGCTGGTGACATGACTGACTTCTGCTGGGGAAACATGGATGTTTATATTCAAGCTTGGCAGAAAAAGCTTTTCAGTTTACTTCACATGTTTTAATGTGTAATTTGTAATTTTACATGTATATGCTATTAGTGGTTTTCTGTTCACAGTTACCTATTTTTAAACAAACATTTCATTTACCTTAAATGTGTGTTTATATATGCTTCTGGTACGGTCACAAAGCTGTTTAAACTATGAAAATTTCTTGCTACTTAGGAAATACCCTTTAACTACATTTTAGGGTAAAGTGTTGGAGGCATAATGTGCCAATTATAGATTACCTTTATACTGCAAACATATTGCAGAATTTGACGCTAATAGTAGTAACATAGAAACATGGTTAGCGTGAAGGTGCAAAGTGAAAGGCTTTTTTTCCCATATTTCATCTCTGGTTAATCAGTGCAACAATTTAATCATTAAACTGTGAGAGAAATTAGCGGCATTGTCAAAAGGAAAATATAAATTCCAGATGAAATTTGGAAAGAAATGGGAATTGGTAGATTAGACAGCTGCTTCTGAAAGGAAGTTTGAGATGTAATAATATTATGTGAATTATCACAAGTTGGTGCCAGTTAAATTGTGGGATTTGAGAAAATATGTGGGAAAGGAGTCTGAAAAAAGGCTTGAAATAAATCTACACAGGTTGTTAAAAACATTGGGAATTTGACATGAGTGTTTAATAAGTGACTTACATCTTCAACCAAGTATTTAGAATGTGTCGCTTGAAATGCATTGCCATGAAGAGACTGAGGAGGTCTTGAGAAGCAGGTGGCAGCTGTGGCGAGAGGAAACATTTTGGGAGAGAATGGAATAGAAACATCAAGGCAGAATGGATTTGCAATTTTAATATGTAGGTATGGAGAAAACTAAGACTTAGGTAAAAAACCAAGAACCCTTAAATAAAGGACTGCTATTGACTTTGCAAAAAGATGACCCCAAACCCCTCGGGTTCTAATTATGTTAAGTAGGAAGAAAAAGAAAGAACAGATGTCACTGGAAAAAAAATCAGAGAACATTTTAGTAAGAAAAATCCTCAAGACTGTTTGTCTGAGGGACTTCCCTGGTGGTCCAGTGGCCAAGACTCCACACTCCCATGCAGGGGGCCCAGATTTGATCCCTGGTCAGGGAACTAGGTCCCACATGCTGCAACTGGGAATTTGCCTGCCGCTAATAAAGATCCTGATACATAACTAGGACCCAGAACAGACAAATAAATAAATTTAAAAAATCCTGAAGTTGGGGTGGCTGCCTTTTAGTCTGTGTCTTACAACCACCATTTTAAAAAAAGAATGGCTGTCTGGTTGCTTTGCTGAATGACCTTCATATCTGACACCCTTCATAATGGAGAGTATGTCATATGGCCAGAGAAGGAGGCAGTTAAAAAAATCAAGTTGGCAAGTTTAAATAGTAGTATCTTATAAGGACAGTGTGTTTCAAGCCAAGCACTTTGTTTTGTGCAAAAGTATGGAATATATAGGTTAAAAAATAATTTGTATAGCCATGAGTATTTTTCTAGCCATGAATATGTGTCGTGGAACATCTTGAGGGTGGTTTTTAAAATATAGGTCCTGTTTCATGTTTTATTATCACCTATATGTGCACATACATTTTTAAAAGTACAATATTACTTTTGAGGATGATTTTTTGCTTTGAAATAGAAAACATGATCAGGGAGTTCTAAAATTAACAAGTAGTCAAGAAATGATACAAAGTGCTTCTCAAGGTTATTATTGTATTCTAACGTAACTATAGAAGAAAAGTTAATCTTCAACCTTAAAAAATGAATAGCATGAAATAAAAATTTACACATACAAGTCAGACTGCATGCAGGAGAATACTCACTATAGGATAGAGTGAAGCTTGATTACAAAGGAGAGGTTTATGATTTGCTTAATATATTTAAAATAATCACTCTGTGTCTTAAAACCGAGTGCAATTGCAATACAAATACACATTTCTTCCATATTTCATGTTTACATTTACTCTTTATATATCCTGAGATTTTATAGAAGAGACTTCTTTGACTCCAGTTGCCAAACAGTGGTGAAATATATATGCTTGAAACTTTAAAGGCAAAACTAAAATAAATATTTTCCTTGTGGTATCAGAAACACATCTATAGCCAAGACTCTTTCTGGTACTGACTTCTTCTAGAGCCTGAGAGGGAAGACAACACCAGCAATCCAAAATCCATTCATCTTTACTCATTAACAAGATTACCTCAAATTCCCCTCATTCAAGGCCATCATTTCAAAAGCTATTTTGGGGAAAATAGTTGACATAGCAGATTATAAATTGGGTATGCAATACCTCTAGGTATCAGTTTAAGCTTTGGATTACACCTAATGGCCAGAAAGGGTATGAATGGCCCAGTTACTTTAAGGTCTTGAAAAAATCATCTGTCTGAGTTGTTCTTTCAACTGTTGACTGGTATTGAAGGATTGTATAAAAGATCTGTATTAAACACTCTAGTGTCATTATTGAAGAGATGCTCTTGAAGCTGACCATGCCATTATCCCAGGCTTCCTTTAAAGTACTCATGGAAGATATTTTAGAAGAAAAGTTAATCTTCAAAGTTGTTTATCTAATGGAAAAAAAATTTGCAGAAAATAAGTGTGCTTCTGTTATAGACACTGTGAGTGTTAGAACCACTGTGTTTTCTTTGCTACTTTGTGTTTTATTCTGCCAGGCCTGCCATAATAAACCGCTACAGACTGAGTGGCTCACTCAGTGGAAGTTAACAGTGGAAGTTAAAGAGTTTTTCCTGAGGCTTCTCTCCTTGACTGATAGGTTTCTCCTTGCTGTGTCCTCACATGGCCTTTTCTTTGCAGCGCACAGGTGGCCCCTCCTCCCGTTTCCAGGTCACCAGTCCTGCTGGATTAGGGCCTCACCCTTATGATCTCATTTAATCTTCATTACCTCCTAAAAGGCCTTATCTCCAAATATAATCACATCTCAGGATTAGGGCTTTGGTATATGAATTTTAGGGGAACACAGTTTAGACCACAATATTTTGATAGCTAGAAATTTGAGAGACAAATCTGTATAACACATTAAGCAAAATCAGAAACACTTGACATTATTTTTCTATTTATATTTTCCTTTCAACTTGATATTCTTTTTTGTCTTTTTAATACATACTGTATTTTTGGAAGCTGCTTTAATATTTTTATAAGTGGAGGACAAATAACTAAATAAATAAATTCTTATCTGTAGTAGATCTTTATAGGTATTTGTTCACTTAAATAATCCATAAGAATTGTATTCCTGGGGGCCAAAAGATGCTGGAGGAGGTTCTATGATCATATGCTGCTGAGTACACTTATTTATATACGTTTTTAGGCTCATAATTGGGGCTTCTCCAGTGGCTCAGTGGTAAAGATTCCACCTGCAATGCAGGAGACGCAGAAGATGCAGGTTCGATCCCTGGGTGAAGAAGATCCTCTGGAGGAGGCATTGGCAACCCACTCCAGTATTCTTGCCAGGGAAATCCTACAGGCAGGGGGACCTGGTGGGCTATAGTGAATAGGGTTGCAAAGAGTTGGACATGACTGAAGCGGCTTAACATGATCAGATTGACATACATATGTATATCATTGTTCGGGCTTTTAATATATAGTATAATCAGGCCTTTATTATTTAGTATTAAATATTAATACTAAAGTTCTTTCTCCCTTTGATTAATATAATAGAACATCAATGGAATTAAAATTTTATTGACAGTGAAGTTGTTTTCCTAATTGTGTCTATTCTTTCTTCTAGAAAAACTTTATGAAAAAAGAACAACAATCTGTAAAACCAGAATCAAAGCCACAGCCCAGGTATACCTTTTATATGATAGCATGAATGTATAAATTAATGTGCTTGCTTTGGTTTTATCCTGACAAGTATCTGGTTTAAAGAAGTGCAGGTTGTTGAAAATTCACAGTATGAACATATCTTTTTCAAAGTTCCCATTTAATTTGACTGAAGCAAGGGAAAACAATTCTTTTTATTTTTTTGAGCATATAGTGCTCACTCAGTAGACCAGGCTGTAGTTCACAGTGGCTAGTAAAAGCACTCTATAAACAGTTCTACATGATGCTTCAGTAGTTTGGTTTGTTAGAAACTACGTACTACAGTCCGCTATGGTACAGCATGCTTTTCAGTCACTCTGTGAGAGATTCTTAAGACTGCCCTGCTTCTGTGTGTAGCAAATTTGTTGACAGACTTTTGTGAAAAACTACCTGATTATGTGAGATAGTTGGAGAGTGAAGTGGAAAGAAGGGATTGTTGAAAGCTAATAGTGAAGTTTCTGAAAAAGATAGTTTTCAAACTTGTACTTTCTTTTGCATTGGTAATACATTCATTTATTAAGTCATCTGATATTGTTTTTGCACCAGCCTGCTGCAAAGCTCTATGTCAAACCATATAGATGTAGATAGTAAAAGGGTGAACCTTGGAGACTTAAGTTTGCCAGAAGCAACCAGTTTGGAAACCTAACCCCCTAGTAAATACAGGTTTATTCAAATATATTTTTCAGGCTACTTTCTCTTACCAGACATCCTGCTTAATTCCTTCTCTCAATTACTCCTGAGGGGTGCCTGTACAATGTCCGTAATCCCTCATTCATAATTCCAAATCTGAAAAGCTCCAGAAACTGAAAACTGCTGTCACCTAAGATGGTGCCAAAACTTTAGTGTCAAAACCTGATCGAAATAACAATTGATTATGACCACTCATAGTCTACACTTTTCCCACTTCATGCGAATAGTCCAGTGTTGCATACATATGAACATTAATTGTATTAATTAAAAATATATTTAATGATAGGACATGCCACAGACTGTACTTCAATGTTATATAATATATGGCATACATGCTATATTAATTTCCTAGACTTTGAAACAAAATCTGAATTTCAAAATGCATCTGACTCTAAAGTTCAAGCACTATAGAATTGCAGTATATGGTGAATCTAGGCCAAATATGACTGTGAAATAATGCAGTGCAATTATTTAAATATCAAATAAATAAATATCCAATTGAAGATTAGATATTTTCTGAGAGCTAGTCTCATAATGAATTTAGTAATAGCAATCATTCTGTGTTTATCTTGTACAAGGTACTTGCATATAACTCCCATAACAACACATGATGTATTTTTATGTTACTGATGGGTAAACATGTTGATTATTTCACTTAGGGCCATTCAGCTAGTCAGTGAGGGAACTGGATTCAAATATAGGTCCTAAATAGTAGCTATCTACTATAAGCTAAATTATGTCAGATGAAACCTGGCTAAAATTTCAAATTCTGCAAGGGCAGAGATGGTTGATTCTATTAATGCTTTAATTTACAGTTCATGACACAATATATGGAATGTAGTGGATACTCAGAAAATATAATCGAATTAATGAACAATTTCCAGAGGAAAAGGAAAAACAGATTTGTATCTTGTCCTGTTGAGAAAAGTTTCTTTCAGTCTTTCATAGTTTATTAATTTGACAATAAACATTAAGAACCTGCTATTTTAGATGCTAAGGACAGGGTGAATGAGACAAACTCCTCTAACATTTGTGGAATGTAAAGCCCAGGCAGAATGTTCAGTTGCTTTTCACCATGGAGAAAGGCAGAAATTGGAATTCAACTCCTGCCAAATGACAGGGACTTAGTAAACACCTCAGATTTCCATGGAAATCTTAGAATGCCAGCACTTGAGTGGGGAGTGCTTCCCTTGTGGCTCAGCTGGTAAAGAATCTGCCTGCATCTCACATGCTAGCAAAGTGATGCTCAAAATTCTCCAAGCCAGGCTTCAACAGTACGTGAACTATGAACTTCCAGATGTTCAAGCTGGATTTAGAAAAGGCAGAGGAACCAGAGATCAAATTGTGAACATCCGTTGGATCATCAAAAAAGCAAGAGAGTTCCAGAAAAACATCTACTTCTGCTTTATTGACACCACCAAAGCTTTTGACTATGTGGATCCAAACAAACTGGAAAATTCTTCAAGAGATGGGAATACCAAGCCACTGACCTGCCTCATGAGAAATCTGTATGCAGGTCAGTTAGAACTGGGCATAGAACAACAGACTGGTTCCAAATCGGGAAAGGAGTACATCAAGGCTGTATATTGTCACCCTGCTTATTTAACTTATATGCAGAGTACATCATGAGAAACACTGGGCTGGATGAAGCGCAAGCAGGAATCAAGATTGCTGAGAGAAATATCAATAACCTCAGATATGCAGATGATACCACCCTTATGGCAGAAAGTGAAGAACGAAAGAGCCTCTTGATGAAAGTGAAAGAGGAGAGTGAAAAAGCTGGCTTAAAACTCAACATTCAGAAAATGAAGATCATGACATTTGCTCACATCACTTCATGGCAAATAGATGGGGAAAGAAAGGAAACAGTGACAGACTTTATTTTATTGGGCTCCAAAATCACTGCAGATGGTGACTGCAGCCATGAAATTAAAAGACACTTGCTCCTTGGAAAAAAAGAGGTATGACCAACCTAGACAGCATATTAAAAGCAGAGACATTACTTTGTCAACAAATGTCCATCTCGTCAAGGCTATGGTTTTTCCAATAGTCACGTATGGATGTGAGAGTTGGATATCAAGAAAGCTGAATGCCGAAGAACTGCACTTTCAGAGTGTGTTGTTGCAGAAGACTCTTGGGAGTCCCTTGGACAGCAAGGAGATCCATCCAGTCCATCCTAAAGGAAATCAGTCCTGAATATTCATTGGAAGGACTGATGCTGAAGCTAAATCTCCATTAGTTTGGTCACCTGATGAAAAGAGCCAACTCATAGGAAAAGACCCTGATGCTGGGAAAGATTGAAGGCAGGAGGAGAAGGGGACAACAGAGGATGAAATGGTTGGATGGCATCACCAACTTAACGGACATGAGTTTGAGCAAACTCCAGGAGATGGTGATGGACAGGAAGGCCTGGTGTGCTGTAGTCCATGGGGTCGCAGAGTCAGAGATGGATTAGTGACAGAACAACATAAACAGATCAAGTAGAAACTGACAGGATTAAAGAATAAAATGGACAACTCCATAATTATGACAGGAGATTTTTTACATTCCTCTTTTACTAATTGATAGGAAAATTAGTAAAATCAAAAAGAATAAATAACAACATAGCATATTTTAACAAACCTTCAACTCATTTGACATAATTGACATTTATAGATGACTATATCCCACCAGTCCATCCTAAAGGAGATCAGTCCTGGGTGTTCATTGGAAGAACTGATGCTGAAGCTGAAACTCCAATACTTTGGCTATCTGATGAAAAGAGTTGACTCATTGGAAAAGACCCTGATGCTGGGAGGGACTGGGAGCAGGAGGAGAAGGGGACGACAGAGGATGAGATGGCTGGATGGCATCACCGACTCGATGGGCATGAGTTTGAGTAAACTCCGGGAGTTGGTGATAGACAGGGAGGCTTGGCCTGCTGCGATTCATGGAGTCGCAAAGAGGCTGACTGAGCAACTGAACTGAACTGAACTGATAGCCAACCACTGTAGAATATACATTTTTTTTAGATGCATGTGTAACATTCATTATAGAGATAAAAACAGAAAACAATGAAATAGAAATCAGAAACAATAAACCAAATTAACAAAGCCAAAAGTTGGTTCTTTGAAAATATTAAATTTTAAGAATATAGAATTTGTAAACTCCTAACAAAACTAAGATAAAAGACAAATTACCAATATTAAAAATGAAAAAAGTAGAATCACTATATATTCTGTGGACAGCGACAAGATAAAAGATTATATGAGCAACTTCTTGCCTATTACATTCAAAGACTAGGATGAAATGGAAAAATTCTTGAAAAAAGACAACATACCAAAAATTACATAGAGAAAATCGAAAATCTGAATAATTCATGTCTTTTAAATTGAATTTGTCATCAAAAGCCTTTTCACAAAAAGATTAGCTTTAAAGAAAAAATAATACTATATGTACATTTTTAAACTAGTTGACAGTGTTACCTTATTTTCTTGGGTAAGTCTTTTTCCTATAAATATCCTTTACCTGGTTAGTTTGATTGGGAAGTCTTTTTCTTTTCCTCATAGGTATTGCTAAATTAAAATTTAGTCCAGTTTTTCAGTGATAAAAATTGTACAGTCTGAAAGGTGAGTGCTTATTGTTTTTATTTTCCTGAAGCCAAGCAGTGACTCTGAATGCAAAACATTTTCCTGTACCGTCTGCCATCTGTTACCGCACCGCATAAAGAGCTGGGGCAGTTTTGTAGGGACATCTAGCTAATTTTTGCAGGGATATCATAAACGTTTTAGAGGATGATGACTGAAGGGAAGTTTAGAGAGCACTTGATTCAATCCTTTAATTTTCAGTTGAGAAAATGAAGACTAAAGTGATTTCTTTAAGGTTACAAAAGGTCACACAAAAAAACAAACAGACAAAAACTGTTGCTAGAATCCAACCCTCATTTTATAGTGTTCTTACTCAGTCAGGCAGCTTTTATGTTCTTTGTATCTTAAATTTTAGCAGCCTTTCTGACCATAGTAGACTGAAACTAATGAATTAGCATGTGTAAGAGTGCTTCTGGAGAAAAAGATAAAGATAAAAGTGAAACAACGTGAAAATAAAGTAAAGTAGTGAACAATATGGTCTTCCCTGGTGACTCAGTGGTATAGAATCCGCCTACCAGTGTAGAAGACACATGTTTGATCCCTGAATCAGGAAGATCCCCTGGAGAAGGAAATGGCAACCCACTCCAGTATTCTTGCCTAGGAAACCCCACGGACAGAGGAGCCTGGCAGTCTACAGTCCATGGGGTGGCAAAGAGTCAGACACGGCTT